AAGAGAGGAGGAGGAGAAGGAGAGACCATATGTGATTTGCAAAGGCCTATCTAACCTTTTATGGAAAAGATTTGCAGATCCCAGACCTAAGGAAGCTTCTTAACCCTGACTGCTCACTAAAGTTTCCTTGGAGAGCTTTGAATGCATTTGACACTTGGACCTCATAATGCCTAAGGTGGGGTCTGGGGAATCTGTTTATTTTAATATGTTCCCAAGGAACTCATATTTTCTAGTCTCCTCACCCTTGAGTCCCAGAGTGAGGGTCTCTTTAGGGTGGTTGTGGATCTGAAAGGCAGAGTTTCACCTATAAACAAGTGAGAGGATTGAGTGGGGCCTCAAGGTGGGCATGACCCCAGGCTGGGGGTGTGTGATGGGAGCGGATAGCTGAGCTATGTTTTTCTTACCCTGTCACTACCTCCTACCTAATGCTTGGAATGCACCAAATATATTGGGCAGAAATGTTCCTACTTTGGGGGTAGACTGGGTGGGAAAAAGTTGCTTATAACCTATGTCTAAGGCAGGGAAGACCACTTAGAAATTTGATTTCTCATCTCACGAGCACCTCAGAGAAGGAAGGGGAGACAGGGTCTTGGAAGATGTACCCCTCACCAGATACATAGGTGCCTGTCTGCTTTAAGGTATGGCCACAAAGGAATGTGGTGAATTATTTTTAACCAACTGCCAGAGCCTTCAACTCTGGGTAGAACACACAGTCCTGGAAGGCTGCCTTACCTAGTCATGCATCTGGGCAACTTCTTTGGGATCCACTTCTGGAGCCCGCAGCAAATTCTTTTGAATTTATTCTGTGTTGGCAATTTTCCTCTGAGGGTAGGTTAATCTTTAGAAAAAACAAAAACTCAGTTGAAATCCAACAAATTGATATAATTTGGGATTAAAAAATTCAATAATTTATACCAAATAAAGAAATAAAGACATTGAATGTATTATAGGCTGCAGAGCTTAGTGATTAAGAGTATGGGTTCTGGAGCCAGATTGTCTGGGTCCAAAGCAAAGGCTCCATCATTTGCTAGCAATGCAAACTTGGTCAGGCTACTTCAACTTTGTGCCTTATTTCTCTCACCTGCAAAGTGGGGATTATGCAAGTAATTACCTTATAGAGTTGTGACATTTAAATGAATTAATCCTAGGATTAAATAAAAGGCTAGGAGCTTCTTTGCTATTATTGGAGTCCTTGGGCAGTGTGTATTGACTTGGAGGATATTAAAAAAAAATGCTTCTAGAAGTGTTTTGGGCTGTGGCAACAGTATGGTTATTTCAAACCTGCCCCAGGCTGGCAGTTTTGAAGAACTCTTTGGATGCATGTATGCTCCAGTAAGGTGGATTTCTAAACCTTTCACTATGCTGCCCGAAGAGATGCTAACTTAGCCCATTCTGTCTCCTGATATCCTTGCAAATCCTGTCACCAAAAGAATTCTTTTAAGCTTATGATGTAGACTGGGAAGCATGGAAGAAGGGAGGCCTGGGGGCAAAACTTGCTCCAGATTTCCATATGGAAAGAGCAGGGTGCTGAATTGATTAGAAGTAGGGAACTTGAAACTTTGTCATTGGGCATGTATCTGGTCAATATTAAAGAATGAGGGAAGGGATGAAGATTGTCAAATTTATGCCCACAGAGTTGTTCATAGTCTGTCTTATAATCTTTGTAAGATCTGCAGGGTCTGTAGTAGTATTGGTTTCAGTTTGGTTACCAGTTACTGTTTTATTTTTCTATCTTGCTACAAGATTTGCCAGTTTTATCAATCCCTTTTTCAAAGAACCAGTTTTTAGTTACTGTAATTTTCTCTGTTGTTTTTCTGGTTTTGATTTCATTATTTTTTGCTTTTACCTTTGTTATTTCCTTAGTTCTGCTTAATTTGGGTTTATTTTGTACTTTTTTGCTGTTTTTTTAAGTATAAATTTAAATGATTTTTTTGAGACTTTTCTTTTCTAACATAAGCATTTAAAGCTATACATTTCCCTCTAAGCACTGATTTTTTGTTTGTTTGTTTGTTTTTGAGACAGAGTCTCACTTTGTTGCCCTCAGTGGAGTCCCTTGGCTTAATAGCCTCACAGCAACCTCAAACTCTTGGGCTCAAGTAATTCTCTTGCCTTAGCCTCCTGAGTAGCTGGGACTACAGGAGCACATCATAATGCCCAGTTTTTTGTTTTTTTTTTTCTAGAGACCAGGTCAGACTGGTCTCGAACTCCTTGAGCTCAAGCAATACACCTGCCTCAGATACTAACGCTCCTCCTTCCTTCCTCAGCTAGGATTACAGATGTGAGGCACCGTGCTCGGCCTCTTAGCACTGCTTCAACTGCATCCCACAATTTTGATAAGTGTTATTTCTTTTTTCTTTGTCTCACAGTATTTTATAATTTCTCTTTAGACTTTCTGTTTTGGGACATAGATTATTTAGAAGTATGTTATTTAATTTCCAAGACTTTAGAAATTTTTCTGTTGTCTTTCTATTATTGATTTCAATTTTAATTCCACTATGATCAGAGAACATATATTCTATGATTCAATTCATTCATATTTATTTGTTTATGACCTTACATAAAAATGTTTATTTTATGACCCTCCATATATACATGATCTGTCTTAGGGAATGTTCTGTGGGCAATTGAAAGAATATATATTCTGCTGTTGTTGGGTGGAATGTTCTAGAAATATTGATTAGTCTAAGTTGGTTCAAGATTTTTCAGTTTTATTTCCTTGTTGGTTTTCTCTCTCCAAGTTCTAAAAATTCCTGAGAGAGGAGCTGGAATATCCAACAAATTGTGAATTTATCTATTTCTCTTTCAGTTCTATCAGTTTTTGCTTCCTGGTTTTTGAAGCTCTGTCATTAGGCACATATGCATTTATGATTGTTTTGTTCTTTTGCAAATCAACCCTTTTATCAGTATGGGATTTTTTTTGTTGCTGTTAAGTAGGCCCAGGCTGGGTTTGAACTCTCCATCCCTGGTACACAGGACCAGTGCTTTAACCACTGAGCTACAGGCAACCAGTCCCTTTTATCATTATCTAATGTCCCTCTCTATCCCTGGTAATTTTGTTTGCTCTTAAGTCAACTTAGTCTATTATTAATGTAGCCACTCCAACTTTCTTTTGGTTACATCTGTGTAATATACCTTTTTTTTCATCCATTTACTTTCCCCTCCATACATTTGCTTTTACCATGTCAATATCATTATATTTGAAGTGAGTTTCTTGTGAACAGCATATAATTGGGTCTTTTAAAAAATCTATTAGGATAACCTGTCTTTTTGGTTATTTGAACAGTATTTAGGATTCCATTTTTACTTTTGTGTTTTTATTTTTTACTTTGTATGTACATGGCATGTTTTGTGTTTTTGACTATACATTTTAAAATAGTTTCTCAATGTTCTAGAGATTACAATATAAATATTACACCCATCTTTTCTCAGTTGACTTAGAATCAATATTTCACCATGTTTAGTTTTATATAGAAACCTTCCCCCTTCTTTTGCAATTTTCTTACAGTGTATATTTATGGACCTTAAATATGCCACCAAGAGCTTGACTTATTCTAGAATTAAATTTGGTTACTTGGCTATGTTCTTTTGTTGTCATAATGCTCTGAGACTTGACCAAATCCTACATATTGAATGTGGTGAAAATGATTTTTTTTAAAAAGGAAAAATGTTTCTAGGGTAGATTTTTATAGATACAACTGAAGTGGGTGTTGACAACAGAATAATACCATTTTGGAAGAGGTTTTGAATACTTATTAACAGAAGTTGGAGAAACATTGAAAAGTAGGGGGAAAAGGGTGCTCGCTTTGGCAGTACATGTACTAAAATTGGAACAACATAGAGAAGATTAGCATGGCCCCCAAGCAAGGATGACATGCAAATTTGTGAAGTGTTCCATACTTTTTACACTGAAAAAAAAAAAAAAAAGGAAAAAAGTATTTCTTCTACTGAAATATAAATTAGAAGAATGAAGAAACAAGATATATAGGGAGAAAGTAGAAAGAGGAAAAACTGAGGATGGGTTGAGGGAGGGAGAGGGTTTTTGAGAACCCTGGACGTCCTGATTCCTCTATTTTGATACTAAGAGATGCTGGATCAGAAAGGCTTTTGGGTGATCAAGTTTTAATCTAACCTCTTCTAGTGTCAATTGCTGGACAGCCGTAAGGAGTACATGCATGATGTGCAGGGAACTCTTGCAGCAGCACATACAAGGCACTTTGTAAACAGGAGTGATTGTTATTGCCACCCAGGCCTCCCTATGTGTATTCTGTGCTCTTACAAACATGTCAAAGCAGGCAGGTTGTTTTACTCTAAAAATATTGCCTGAGGTTCACCCTCAGAAATTTCCCTTACTGGTGGTTCTCAACACTGTGTGCACATTAGATTCGCCTGGATACCCTGAAATATGTCTGGGACCCTCCCTCAGAGATTCTGATTCAGTTGGTCCAGGGAATGATTAATGGATAAAGACAGATAGATACTAGATAGATAGATAAATCTACTATGAATTATTCAAGTAAGATTCTTTTGTTGGTGGCTCAGGAGGTCCTGAATAGAGATACATGTTTAGTAAGTGAGAGGCGTCACAGATGTGCCTAAGAAACTTCCCCAATCATGTTTTTATTGAATTAATTTTCAAACATACATAAATTACAATGATTGTAGAATAAATCTCCTTGTACCTCTGTGAACTTTCATCACTTAGCTCTAACAAAGCGTTTCACCAATCTTGTTTCATCTATTCTGCTCCCTCCAACTCTTTTCTTGTGCCAAATGATTTAAGCAAATCTCCCAAATTGTGTTGTTTTACAGTGGGTATTAAAACACCCAAGTGATTTTAATGCTGGCAGGGATTAACAGGCACTAGACAAAGCCTCTCATGGGGAAATGCCATTTTGGAGACCACCTTCTTTGTACTGTTTTCTAATCAAATAAAGCCTTGGAATCCATCTGCAATAGCTGTAATGTTCAATTTCCTGTGCTAAGGTTATTTGGCATTAATGATATGTAGCTCATGTAAACAAGATATTATCATTATTCAGTGAAACTGAGTACTAATGGTATTTAATTTTCATGACATACTTATAATCACAAAGCTACACCACTAATGTTCTTTAACTAAATTCAAAGATATATATAGCCTCCTCCCCAAAGGTAGCATGCAGCATCCTGGGGCATGACCCTGCCTAGGATTCAGAGGTTTGGTACTGTCTGTTCAAGCCCTCCAGTCTCCCCTGGACCCTGTGTTGCTCTTACTTAGTGCTTCCTGTCAGCAGCCTCTAGTGCTCCCACATTTGCTAGCCCCTGATTTGAAATTATCTGCAATGCAGCAATGGGGCTGTGACCAAATGCTATCAGATAGATCTTTGTTCTCAGTGTAAGAAAGAGGCTTAAGCAATGGCCACGTGATGAGAAAAAGTGAAGGAAATATTATTTCAGATTTTTAACATTTGTTCCTTCAGTGAATATTACTGAGCATCTACTACATAGTACCATGTGCCAGAAACTGTTCTCAGTGTTTAGAACATATCAAAGAACCTGACAGACATTAGGCATAGATCTGTGCCATCACCGAGTTTCCCAAAGCAGTTATATTGTGCCAGCTTCTACCATTTGTTTTGTCCAAATATCTATGTTGTTATCCCTACAATCAGCCATCACACCCACTCTGAAGTCTTTTTATTTCAGGAAGATGGAACTATGTGGAAAGGGAGGTAGGCAAGATGAGTGAATCCGTTTATTTCCCAGGCATTGCCAAACCATCTCAAGCCTGGGATGGACTGGACCTATTGGGAAAAAAGTTTGACCTGTTGGAACAGAGGATGCAGAGGTGAGTTCTAAAGGACATATAAACCCAAGTGCTTGAAACACCAATGGGTCTTGTGCATGCCTGTGTGTGCAAAAAAGCATTGTGATCAGCTGGTAATACCTGCCATGGAATCTGGAGTAGGGAGTAAAATAGTCAGCCTCTTAACCCCTATGCAAAAGTTTGAAATCCCTCTCTCCCTCTCCAACTCCCCCACTTCTCCCTCCTTCCCTTCCCAGAGATCTGCTTTCTGTCACTATAGCTTGGTTTTCATTTTCTAGAATTTTGTACAGAGGGAATTATACAGTATGTATGTTTTTGCATCTGACATCTTTCCTTCAGCGTTATTATTTGGAATACATCTTTGTTGTTCACTGTATCCATAGTTCACTTCTTTTTCCTGCTGAGTTGTACTCCATTGTACAGATAGACAACAATCTGTGTATATGTCTATTCGTGTGTTGATGAGTTGATGGCTAATTTGAGTTGTTTCCAGTTTTTGGCTATTACAAATAAAGCTGCCATAAATATTTGTGTGGAAGTCTTTACATGGTTGTATACTTTCTTTTCTCTTGGGTAAACATTTAGGGCTGGAATGGCCAGATCATATGTGGGTACTTGTTTAACTTAAGAAACTGTCAAACTGTTTTCTACAGTGGTTGTACCATTATAATATATTCTCATCAGTAGTATGTGAAAGTTATAGTCAGTCCATATCCTTAAACATCTTTTCATGTGTTTATTTGCCTTCTGTGTTTTGTGTCTATCTTTCACTTATTTTGAGTTGTTTGCTTTCTTCTCATTAAGTTATTATTATTATTTTTTAAAGACAGAGTCTCACTTTATCACCCTTGGTAGAGTGTCGTGGTGTCACAGCTCACAGCAACCTCAAACTCATGGGCTGAAGCAATTCTCTTTCCTCAGCCTCCCAAGTAGCTGGGCCTATGGGTGCCCTCCACAACAGCGCTGGCTATTTTTTTTTTTTTTCCCCTTGCAGTTGTCATTGTTGTTTAGTTGGCCCAGGCTGGGCTCAAACCTGCCACCCTCAGTGTATGTGGCTGGTGCCATAACCACTGTGCTATGGGTGCTGAGCCTTCTCATTAGGTTTTGAGAGCATTTTGTATATTCTAGAGGCAAGTCCTTCATTAGACATGTAATTTGCAAATATTTTCTCTCCATGCCAGAGAGAAAATTTAATTCTCTTACCAGTGCTTTTTGCAGAAACATTTTGATAAAATTTTAATTTTGATGAGGTATAACTTATTAATTTTTTATGGATTGTATTTTAATGTTATATACAAGAACTTTTTGCCCAATCCAATTTCACAAAGATTTCCTCCTTTTTTTTTTTTTTTTTTTTTTTAGAAATTTTATAGTTTTAGGTTTTATATTTGGGTGTATGATACATTTTGAAGTAAGTTTTATGGCATATGGTGTTAGAAATGGATCAAAGTTAATTTTATTTATTTATCGTTTTTTTTTTGAGAGAGAGTTTCACTTTGTTGCCCTTGGTAGAGTGCTGTGGCATCATAGCTCACAGCAATCTCAAACTCTGGGGCTCAAGCAATCCTATTGCCTCAGTTTCTCATTTTTACTAGAGATAGGGTCTCACTATTGCTCAGGCTGGTCTTGAACTCATGAGCTCAAGCACTCTGCCTGCCTTGGTCTCCCAGAGTGCTGGTATTATAGGTGTGAGCCTGACCAACGTTCATTTTTAAATGTAGATATCTGGTTATCCCAATATTGTTTATTGAAAAGAATATCCTTTCTTTCTTTCTTTTTTTTTTTTTTTTTCCTTTGGGGCCATGGTGTTTAG